GTCCGTCCCCCCCACCTCCCCCCAAAACCGACCCCGGTTCTGGTTGTCAGCGGAGGCACAAGTAAGTTCAGCGCTGAGGAGGTCGGTGAGGGAGAACCTGAGGTGGCCCTGAGGTACCGTGTGGGGGGCTTTGGGGGACATCGGAGCAGGGACACAGGCTCCTCCGAGAGGTCCCTGGGGTCCCCGGCTTGTGGGGAGGTTCTGCAGGAGGATGGTGGGGAAAGGTGGAATCCGCCTCCCCCTTCCTAGAGGAGCCCTTGCCCTAAATTTCCTTCCATTTCTCTCCCAGAGGCACGGACCGGCGAGCAGATCGCAAATAATCCCAAATACCTGAGGGCGCACAGGCGAGGGGGAGCCCCGGTTTGTGCAGTGGAGGGTTTGGGGGGGAGGAAAGGGGGGGCTTTCGCCACTGGAATATGACATTTAGCGGTAGAAAAATCTGTTGCGGAAAGGTTGTTTCCTTCCCATGTAGGTTGCTAGACACGCTCGAGCCCTCCAGTTTCCTAGGTGCATTTTGACCTTTCGGTGGCTGAGAAGTGGGTCGTGCGCGTTGGGTGACGGTCTCCTCATTTATTTTTATTGGGTTTTATTTTTATTTTTTTTTTTGCACCTGAAAAAAAGCACGTTTGCAAAGGTGGAAAGGTGCGGAGCGCTGGCTGGGGCTGCCGCTTGCTTCCACTGGGAGCTTAATCAGCATACAGTAGATATCCAATTTTCACTACCCAAATACGGCACAGCTGAAAAAAAAAAATTAAAAAAAAAAAAAAAGAAAAGAGTGACACAGCAAAGTATGTTAAAACTGGAAATTTGGACTCGCGTGGGTGGTGCTTATATGTTCTTCACCCCGTCTCATGGCTTGTATTCTTCGTGTTGCTGGTTTAGACTGAAAAAAGGACCTGGTTTGTGTGGGCTGGCAGGATATGCATATATATGTGTGTGTGTAAAATTTGCATGTGTGTGTATATATATATATTTAAAGAGTAATAGACCTGGTGAGTTCTAGTAGCAAGATGGTAAATCTGAACAAAAAAAAAAGATGCTTTGTTTACTTTTCTGGAGATGCTCTGTCCCGTTGCAGGTCAGAGGTTGTGATCTTCTGCCGGCAGAATATTTCAGCAGACGTGTGTGGGTTCTGAACTCTTTATTATGCTGTGGCCAGAGGCTTTCTTATACAAGAGAAAGTGAAAAAATATATGTTACGTATGGAAGGATACGTAGTATGTGGTGCATTTGTAGCCATATCCTTAGGCCTCTTGCAGAGCAGCGGGGAGAGAAACATTGAGAACCAGGAAAAAAAAAAGGATGCAAAGCCACAAATTTGCAGAGGGAAGCTGGGTAAGTGGTGGAGCATCCGCAGCTTCGCAGCCCTGTTCTGTGAAAATGATTAAAGTTCAAGTTGCCACTTAAGGGGACAAACAGCTCTTGATGGTAGATAATAAACAGTAGTAACTTTGGCAATACTGCACCTGGCTCCAAGCCGATGGGCATGATGAAATGTTAAATCTCAACTTATTTGCTCAAGATGGGTATCTGTTGTTTGAAACATGTTGCCAAACAATATGGCAGCGCAAATCCTTGCTTCCAAAACAAATAGGCTTCCTGAGCGGCGAGTTTGGCGCTTGGGAAGGCAGGCCTTTACTTCTTATTCACCACGGGCTGACTCTGATTATTTTTTTTTTTATATATATATATATATATTTTTCTTGAGCGTGCATGTTTTCCCCGAGCCTTGCCCTCTGATAATGCTACGACACATGCTCACAACGGCATGACTAATTCATACAATTAGTCATACACTTCCACTGTAGATTTATTGGAGCAATATCGCTGTCATTCTCACGTTGTAAAAGTCCGCGTTGGGGAACATGTGCCCTCTGTTGACTTCTCGTGGGTCTCTTGGCATGGCTTGTCAGGGGGGGCTGTTAACGAACCTTTGAAGCCTGTAGGATTATTAGGCTGACTTAATTATATAAGCATATTTTCAAGGAGCAGATCTGTTGGAGACCGGCACCTTGTTGCTTGCTAATCTGAGGGGGGTAATTTGCATGAGACTTCGCAGAGATTGCCAGAAATGAAGGTGTGAGTGCTACTACTAAAAATATCCCAGTCTCCTGCATAAATAGTTTGCCGGTTGAAAAACAGTATATTTTGTATAGGGAAACTATTTATATGACGAGTTATTCTTGTTTTGCTTGGTTGCCTCTCTTTCTTTGAAGCGTGGTTCTTATCTCTTTGATCAAAGAGGAGGAATGAAAAAAAAAAACCAAAACAGTTTTAAAAGTTAGATTCTGCCTTTAAAGACAGGATTTTAAGGAGGAAGGGCTTGGACTAACAGGTAAATATTGTAACCAGGTGTTCCTGAAAGGCCAAGGCGGTGTGTGACGCCCTGTAGCATGTGGCCACCGCTTCTACGTACGAGCTTGAAGCGCTGGCAGATCCAAACAAGCAATTTTTATTGGCGGTTCTATGTTATTTGTGTTGCTGCAGCATCCAGGAACCCCAGGCACGGGGCCGGCTTTGCAGTGGGGTGGGAGTGACGCAAAAACAGAGCGAAAAATGGACTCTGCTTCCAAAAAACTTCCAGCCTAAACCTAAAGGAGGTGGAGGAGTGGAGTTGTGAGGGGGAAGCAGCCGGACGGTGGTGGGCAGCAGGGGAGTCGGTAGTCACAGCGTATTAGCAGCCTAATATTGATGGGTTTGGGGTTTTTTTTTAAGTAATATTGCAGCAAACTGGTGCTTTATGGTCTGGTGGGAGGTGAGTGCCTGCTGTGGTGCTGCTGAACCCTCTGCCTGCCTCCCCATCAGAGCCAGGGTGGGTGAAGGAGGATTCCCTGGAGAAGCTGCTGGGCCTGAGAACAGCCAGGAGCTTTAACCTCTTCCCCTGGCCCAGCAGGATCTGGAGTAGGATGTTTGCCTGTAGCTGCAATATTAAAAACTACGGCTTGCTTGTAAATGGCTTCGACTCTTTGCATATTTGGCCTTGCGCATGTGAGTCAGGGTGATGCAGAACAGGTTTGGGTTTTTTTTTTTTTTTTTTAACCACGACGGCAGCATCTCCATGTAAAGTTGACCATTTTAAAACGCTGCGGCTCTGCTGCGGGGACAAACTTTAAAGCCCTGGGAGGCCTGGTCTGGGTAGAAAGGATGTGTCAGCACCATGCGCTTCACCTGGGCTCCTGTCATTTACCAAGGAAAAGACGGCTGAACTGGTTTGGAGGTTCTTTAAGCCTGAACTAATTTACCTGGCTGGGAATGTAGGTTAGAAACTAGGCTTCGCTTGGCTTTGGGCTAACGCCAGTAACGCTCCACAGGGAAAATGCAGGCTAAATAGCTTCTGCGCTGATAATCCTGCAATACTGTTCCTACTGTTTCCCCTGAAAAGATAGGTAGGATCTCGTGGGGTTGACCCAGTTGACTGGGAAGCAACTCCAGCGTGGAGGAGCAGTGGGATGGTTCCCTGAGATGCCCTCGGGTGAGTGGGGGAAAAAAAGCTGGGAAGGGTTTTTGCGCGTAGACCTTGCAGTGAGAATCCTCTCCTAAGTGCTCCTGTCCCATGGACAGGGTTGCATGGCCTAAACTGGGGAGATTTGTTAACCAACTGAGGTAAATCTGCACATAGATATTCTTAAATCTGTTTAAACCTGCTTACTGGTTTATGGAGTTCTGTAAGCTGGGGCAGGCTATCCTGGCAGTCCTGTTTAAACCCGTGTGTGTCCTCGCAGAGATCTGCCGTCATTTAGTGAAGCCCATGCAAGTTGGTGAGTTACAGGAAGGTGATCTAGGAAAGGAAAACAGTGCACTGAACATATAAATCAACAGTTTGCTGACTTGCCCTGGTTAGTGAACTCTACAGTATCTATATTTTGCTGAAAGTATACACAAATTGTCAGTTTCTCAAAGCTGGTCGGTGGATGGCCTCTTAAATGTGTTTGTATTTTTCTGCAAAGATCCTGAAGCTGTAGGTCCTGCTTCAAATGGCCCAGTCAAGGCTGGTCTTGCAACTAGCTATTTTGGAACACAAATCATGAAAATGTCTATTTTGAGCTTTTAATGTTTACTTTGTGTTTACTTTTAATTATCTATCATGGAATATGCTATGAAACAAGCTCAAAACAGTGTTTCTTTGGCTTAATTTCCTCCCCCCCCCTCCCTTTTTTTAATGTGACATCTGAAATCCCAAGGGTCTCATTTTTGGGGGGATTTTCAGAGTGTGAAGCCTTAAAAAATAAGGCAATACGCCAGACGAGGCAAGAAGTAGGCTTGTTTCTTGCATCCGTGTGATGAAATTATGAATGAGGAACTGTTCAAAACCCAAACAAATCAGTAGCTTTCCTACGGATGTGAAACTGACATTGTGAATGGAGGGTGAAGTTTAGAATCGCGAGGCTACCCCGGGATCAAATGATGTTAAATGGTATCATGCAATATTGAAATGGTTGGGTGTTGATAATGTTAAACCCATAATGTTAGTGGTTTCTCTTACGTGCACCTTACGCTGTCATGGGAAATAAGGGCCTTGGGAGGGGAGAGAGATTCCAGCCCACAGTACAGTGGTGCCCTGTCCAGAAGGTTTCAGAATAGTGTTTGCCCTTTCAAAAATTAAAAAACCCACCCCGATAAGTATTATAATCTTTCAGTAAAACTGCACTGAAAGTTTAACAATGAAAACCGAAAATCTTTTTTTTTTCTTTTTTCTTTTTCTATTAACATTGTATAACTCCCAGACTGAAGAAATAGGAGAGAAAAGGCCTGAACTTTTCAGAGCGTTAAATCAGATTCATATGTAAAT